ATGTGTAATGGGTTGTTAGTATTACAAACTCCAGTCACCTATGATTTTTGTTCTCACACCCATCTCCGATAGTCCCTGCTTTGTAAATCACCAAGAAGAGACGTAGAGCTTGTGATGCTGCCAAGTAGCTGAGCTGCTGTGATATCTTGCTTGCTTCTCCTGCCCAGCAGCATTGCTCCAGGTCAGTTGGAGATCATCTGCCTGTACGTGGTTCGCAGGCTCTGACCTCTCCCTGCCTTCAGAGCAACTTCACTGAGTTAGTCTAAGGACAGGAGCCAAACCCTGCACCAGGACATGGAGTTGCTGCTGACAGGTGAACCCCCTCCCAGTGGGTCCAGTTGAGTTGAAGTGGGATATGAAGGGAACGGAAGCCTGTTGCCTGAGGAAAGGATTTGTGGCAGAAGCAGCAAATCCTGATGACTGTGAAACTTGGAGAGGAAGCTTGTGCTGAAGTTTATGCTGTGTTAAGGTTTTGACTTACTGATAAAACCCCAGGAAGGGAGCGAGCCTGGTTGTGTTCTCTGTTGGACTGTGTTAATACTGAGGGCTTTCAGAGGATGGCTGCGGTAATACAGGTTTCTCTTAAACGCTGGCGCGCTGTGGGAAAGCTGACTGGAGGGTAATTGTGGTAGATGCTGGTACTGGGTGTACTCTTGTAAACATTTACTGGGTATTTGTCTGTAGAAACCATCGCTTCTTCTTTTTGCATTTATTAGATCCTGTTGGTCAAGCGTGTAGATCAGAGCTATTCCAAAGCAGGTAGATAATGAGTGCTCTTATAAAGAGCTGATAAAAGTCATGCTAAAGCTTTTTTAAGTACTCATTTATTCACAGTAACAAAACCTTGATAAAACATGGAGTCTAATTTTTATAAAATACTGAGCCTCCTGGATTCCAGTGGAAATCAATGTCGGCTGTTGGTGCTAAGCTTCTCTAAACATTGTGTTTGTGGATTCAGACCCCGGTTAAACCCCCATTGACTTCAGGCAGTCCTTTAATCAGAGTAAGGACAGCAGTATTTTGCCTCCTTACACTCATTCTTCTTGCAGCACTGTGTCTCTCTGTTGCTCTGCTTGACTCGGGGATAAGATTTTCTTTTTTGAAAAAATTCAATATATCTTCTCTGCAGAGAGCTCTGATCTAGGGTCCTGCTCCTTACTTTGTACATAAGCATCTCTGATTGATAGCCCCACAACCCTGAGAAGTACTTGCAGCTTGAGCAGAAGCCACACAAAACATTACAGCTGTTGCTGATGATTAAAAATGTCTAAAATCATAAATGGAAACGCTAGAAAAGAAAAGAAGAGAAAAGATTTCTGTAGGGAGTATCCTGTACTGAACTCCCAGGCAATGTGTTAACGTAAGCAATGATAAGAATCAGTCAGAGAGCTAGGATGGCAGTGTATCTTGGTGTTCTGTTCTGCTTGTGTTTCTTCTACAGAAATCTAAAGATCACTTTGAATATAGTGTATCTGTGTCAGGGAGTGAGTTTGCAGCATTTGTTTCTACGTTAAGGAGGAGGGGGCATCTTCAGTTTTAACATATTTTCATGGTCCAATATGCAAACGTGAATCTCTTCACTAGAAGAATTGCATGTGTGTATCCAAGGTTAAAAGTTAGATGCTTAAATGATAACTTCACAGGAGCAAACATACAAAATGCAGCAGAGCATGTGGGCTGGGGGATGGCGCCTTATTGTTGATACTGGATTACCTGGGAGGAGACCTGGGAACCCAAAACTGATCTCTGTGCCCCTCCACCATTGGAAGAAATCAGGCATTTCAGACTAGTTTACCTTATCCTAGGAAATTCTCCTCATTCAAGGAGGAGAATTTGCCTTCAAAGCAAATATTACCTCATCATCACATGCTAGACAACATACCAAGAGAAAAATTCTTTCCAGTCCAAAATACAACTATCAGTTTTTGCACATGCGGCAGCATCACCAGTGTCTCATGGTGACTCATCACGCTTTTGATCTGCAGAGCTTGCTACCAAATAACCTTAAAATATCTGCTTGTTTTCTCAGCTATTACTATTTAGTGGCACCTGTTGGATGAGCAAGTTCTTGTTTAATAACTTCCAGGTAGATGGCCGTACATTATAAAAGGGAGGGGGTTTGCAGTTTGCCGAAATATGCTGTTCCAACAACAGTCATTTGTGGACATCTGGTAATTTGTAAACTGTATTTACCAGATCTGCTGTCTGTGCTCTTACAAGCATTTCAGAGCAGATGAAGCCATTAGAAAGCCTTTTCCTTTTGGTGGAAACATTCCCTAATTTGTTGCCCTTCTTTGTATTTCAGTGTAAAACAAAAGCAGCAACAGATTTCACTTTACATTTCTTGACATGTAGGACTAAAGCCAAGTTTTCTTTATTTTATACAGCAAGAGAAACTAAGGAAAGAGACAATAATTGGACAGAACTAACAGGACATTTCTATTTAAGGGGCAGAATGAACAGCAAGTGCCTGTTCGTTCTCAGGTTAGCAAATATCAGAATATCAGATGTCCAAAAGATGAGAACTTGAGGGTTTTCCTACAAATTTTTTATTTCTCACCAAAACCTCCTAAGGACAAAGTACTGATTCTAGAAATGTTACTTTTACGGTTGATTAGGAAATTACAGCAAGGGAACAGCCCAGTGGGCATAGAGATTTACAGTGGATGCCACAGAGCTCATCACAGAAAGGACAGCTTTTAATAGGAAAAAGAAGGAAAAAATTCAAGTGCTTTTTCCACTGCTGCATAAGGAGAGGTCCAAAAAGCCAGCTAATAGTCCACCCATGGTCACCCATGCACTCCGCGTGCACAGCTTGGCACTGGTCCTACAGACTCATCAGCAAGGCCAAAAATGAACAAAAGTGCTGCGGGAGCTTCCCTGCCTGTCTCTCTCTCCATCAGTATATCAGGCCTGGGGAAAACAGAGACGGCATCAGGCTGGGATTTCTCAGCAGGGCTCCTCTCCCATCTCAGATCTGAGAGGCTGCGGTGATTTGTATCTCTGAATATGTTTTCAGTTCATTTTCCTTTTAATGATGCTGAAGAAAGGCGTGTCAACACAAAAGACGACGTATCTGTCACTCCGCACTGCTCTGCTTTCTAGCAGCAGGCAGGCTGCTGCTTGGAGCTGGCTAGAAAAAATACTGTGGTTGGTTTTGTTGTTGGTTTTCTGAGGAAGGAGAAAAAATGCCAGCACTGATAACTGGTTGACTCAGCATACAAAGCTGTAAAGAAAAAACTGCCCAAAGATTTTCCTCAAAAACCTGAAACTTTCCAAATGTGACTGTGATGCTTCAGAGTGCCTCCTCTTGCATGGCCATACCCTGTGTCCCAAGGACCTGGGACGAGCACTGTCTCCCCTCCTTAGGAGTCCTCGTGGGAGTCTCTGGCTGCAGTATCCCATGGGAAGTGTCCATTGGGGGGAAGACAGCTCATAAAGTGTGTTCTAGGCAAGAGGTACCCAGCTTCAATCTTCAAGAGTCACAGAATGGCTGAGGCTGGAGATGCTTCTGGAGAACATTAGTCCAGCCCATGCTCAGAGCCATGTCCAGTTGGGTTTTGAGTATGTCCAAGGATGGAGACCCTGCAACCTCTCTGAGCAACCTGCGCTAGTGCTTGGTCACCCTCGCAGTAGAGAAGTCAGTCATGACAGCAACACTTCCAAACACAAAAATTAGTAATTATTAACATCTTCAGGTTTTCACTCTTTTTTTTTTTTTTTAAGGAAAAAGAAAGAAATGCAACTATTTTCATAAAAAGAAACCATTTTTTTAAAGATCACCTAGTTTTCCCTCAACAAGCTCTCCATGTGGACACTTTTGGAATAATACCTCTACTTCTGTCTTCATACCAGAGCAGCACCTGCCTGTGGATCATGTTGCACTGTTGACAGAAGGGTTGGTGATACTGTTGGCCATTATTAACATTATTTATTTAGCACCTGGCAAACGCAGTCAGGCTCTTTGTGCTGCACACTGCTCAAACAAACTGGAAGTTCCTTCCCAAGGAGGAGAGGCAGAGCTGAGCATACACCCCATCGCTTTGGCAGAGGCACCATTTAGGTCTCTGATGCTCTGTGTACAGACCATATGTTACAGCCCAGCTTTCTCTCTCCTGTTTACTTCTATCCATTTTCCCATGTGCCATCAGCCCTGAAGCTCTTTATTCTCTTCTAGCCTGTCTTGGCCCGCAGCCTGTAATTCATAGGTCATCTTCAAAGGAGGTGCAGAACAGTAAAAGCCCAAGCCCTGCAGTGATGCTGGAAGCTGATCCTCCAGCAAAGCCTTGGAGAAGCTTTGCCTTTTAAGGGAGCACTCAAAGTGTCCTTTGAAACACAAAACTCTTTAAGAGGTTACAACAGTTATTCCCTTGGACCCACACAGTAAAACAAGTAAATTTGTAGTGTAGAGGAGGCCCCCAGTGTTATGATGGGTTTACATACTGTCTTTTTGTTACCACATTTCTGGACAACAGCAGTCAGGTGTCTACTGGGGCTGATAGTCAGGGTCTATTGGAGACTGTAATAACCGTATAAAATAATTTTGACCAGTTTGATATAAAAGGGGCTTCAGTGATACTGAATCCAGCCCATTCCATCAAGATTTAATTTAGTCCATGCTGCAGTTAGTGTTTTCTTTGGAACGGTAATGTTCTTCTCAGAAATATGTTCACTCCCAGCCCATATTTACTGAATAGATGCCAATTAGGCCTGGGTTCAGCGATGTTTACAATGCCGGCATTATGGGGATTTAAACAAAACAACACAAAAGCATACACAAAC